TCCCTTTCTTTGTCATCCTCATACCATCTATTTAGGCAAAGCCACAGAAGTAGCATGGTTCTTTGTAATTTGCTCTGTCATCTAGGAGACACAGAGCTTTTGCAGACTTCCATAAAACACAAATTCTGAAAGTGTCTTTTTATTCTAAAATTATGAGCCAGTTTAGTTCACTGTCTCCAAGTCTAGGATCGTCTCTAGAATCAAAGGGGACTGTAGTCCCAAGCAATAATTTTGCATTATCATCTGATAGTCAGAACTGAGGATGTGGTTGCAGACATTTGAGTGCCTGTTTGAGTTCTTGTGATGACTGAGGGAAGGGGGATCTGTTCCCCTCAGGCAATAAGGGTGCAAGCCACAAGTGACAGGGTAGTAATCCTGCTGCTTACTGTGTTGTGATGTGTTGATAATCCTCCACAAGCAAGTTGGGAGGAAGTTCATTGTGAAAAAATGGCTAACCAGAACAAAATCCTGGCTTAAGACACTACAGGTATATTTCAACTATATCTATCTATCTATCTATCTATCTATCGGTAATGAACTTCATATTATAGAACACATAGAAAAGCACAGGAGGCATAAAACCTGCCTCAAAGAATTTATGATCCAAAAAGACAAGAACTGAAAAGCAGTTAAAATACATAAAGTAAAACATTACCAGAATCTGACAGCATAAAACAAAAGTGCTTAAGTTCTGTGGCTTTAATTTGGTGAATCTAGTATTTGTGAGTGGTTGTCCCATAGCTTGCCACCCTTCTATCTCCATGTGGAATTTTGGATGCATTCAGTTTAGGGATGTGTATCACTGTTGATAAGCAGAGTTCGGTCCTTGGTGCAGTAGCTCCGGTGGTCCACATACATTGGCAGCCCAGGAAACCTGAGCTAAATGTTGCTGCTGCAATGGCCTGGGGGCTGGTACCAACCTGTGAGACCCCAGGGCATTAATTTTTCCTAGTGGCCTCATTCAAATCATATATTATATATGTGATTTATATGATATTATATGTTATATATTATATCTATTGTATTATTATATGTTATCTATTTAATTTCTATTTTTACTTCTATTTCCATTTCTATTTCTACTTACGTTTATATTTATACATAATATATCTATATTTATATGCACAAAGTAGGGGTTTGTGCTCGCTGCTTTTTACACACTTTGCTGCACAGTGTAAGGGAACTTGAAGCTACCTTGAAAGTACAATTAAATGAGGACCTGTGTATTATGCTGTTTGCATTTCTGTGTGTGAAGCACAGTAGGAAAATAATGCCAGCAAGTTTCATTTATAGATAAATGTAGGCAGTCTTGGTGTTTTGGGGTTTCTATAACATGCTGAAGAGAAAAAGAATAAATTAAACTGACCCACCCTGCATATACAAAATGATGTCTTTTTCTGCCAACATTCTTTTTTTTCCACAACTGGGACAATATAGAAAATAAAATACTGTGTAAGGACACAAATATGCTGCCTGAGTGACAATCAGTTGACGTTCAATTATCATGTTAATCGAATTAAAGCAAAATGGAAATTACTTAATTCCATAACTATATGTTCCTGTCAAGTTACTTATTTAATAATTGTTGCTTGCTTGACAGAGGACAAGAAAATGACCTTATAGGAGATTTCTAAGATGCTATAAATAAAATTAAATGTTCCCACTCTACAGTATAGATAAGCAAGTGAACAGAACCCTGCTTTATGATACAGGACAAATGTTAGTTGTATTATTGGATATGATGTGCTTGATAATTTGGCACTGTCTTAAGCATGAAGCTCAAAAGACCTTCAGCTGTTTTCTAGAGCACACTTGAATGATGACACAAGTCTTTTTCCTCCCCAGATGTGCTGCAAGAATACAAGCCTTATACTTACAACAACACGAAACTATTTAAGCCTGAGGGCTAAAAAATTCTCACAGCTGCAGAAAAAAAAATTTAAAATAGTTTGAGAGAAGCAGCTGACTTGTTCATACCTGTTTGAGGCACTGCTGCACATGCTGAAGACACTCCCCACTTGCCCTGCCTTCATTAGCCCCCAGTGCAGGTCCAGTTCAGCACAGAGCCAGAGAATTGGTACCACTGCCAGGGCCACATTCATTTACCTCCAGAGAGAAATATTGATGACCAGAGCAGACTTTGTTGCCATTTATGTCACCAAGTGTTTAATTCCCAGACAGGCAGAATTTACCCTAATTTTTAGTCTAGGCCATGACCAATCAATTTCCAAAACCAGCATGAGGATCATCAGCTTACTTGTATGCTAACCTAAGCAGTGGGAATCTTGGGAAGGACACAATGAGAGCTCAACCTGTTTGCCTCAGAGGACACACCAATACTTTTCCAGGGACAAACTGGGGTGAGCTGATGACCTTCCAGGCCAGCCAGCCTGCAGGAGCCATTCTTGCCAATGCAAAAACCAAAGCAGGCTGAGGTAATCTAAAACTTTTTCCCACCCAGTAAAGACTTTTTTACTATAATGACCTCCTGTTAAATCAGTAAATTTCATTGTGCCAGGGATGACATGGTGTTCATGTGATTATTATTCATTCACCAAAAGATTCAAAAGAGGGCAAGGCAGGGTGTACACTGAACATGCTAGATGCATAGGTAGGACATAATTAAATAACAACTGTCGGATGATATTTCCATGAAGTAGTGATGTTTTAGGTGGAGATTTCCAGAATTGTTGTTAGTTTCATATTATTGAGTTAACCTTGTGCAGTATTATTATTTGCAGGAAAAGTCAGGTCTCAGAGGACTCTTCCAATTATGCTGTGACTGTAGGAGCGCAGCAAGAGTGTCTATTTTTTATATTTGTGTAATGCAAAATAAAACCCAATGTGAAAGCAGTAGATACATGATCTTTTGAAGAACATTGATTGTTCTGTGTAAAATTTGTTGTTCAGCTCTGTTTTTTAAGTTGGCTATCAGGGTGATGCAGAGGCATTGCAATATACAAAGCAGTATAACTTAGTCTTTGTTCTGTAGGTCAAGCTGAATTAATTTTAGTAGACTGCTGACTAATTTCTTATTTGTTTTCAAAACAAATAGTAATTCCCCTAATAATCACAAATGATTACAAGTTAAGAAGCAATTGCTACCTTTTTTTTATTTGCAGAACAGTAGGAGATCAACAAACACTACATATTTATCTTAATCTGGAGAAATTACAAGGGTGCAAAGATACAGTTGCACAGCTAAAACCAATCTTCTCCCCTCTCTGTCTTTATAGTTACAATTTTTCGAGCCTAAGACTTCTCTGTTTCCATTATGATCTTTTGCTTCCCTGGGAAGCAAAATCTTTAATCCTTTTAGGCAGCCTCTGAGTTTTGCCAGCCTGCATCTGAGATTTGTTCTGTGTCTGAAAGTGAAGCGTTAGTGAAACAAAAAATTATTTCATGAGTACATTCTTTATAAAAATGGTTTTGTACTGGATCCTTCCAGCCTGACATTACCACTCTCCCTTTGTTGTCTGCAACTGTATTGTCCTCTGTGTGTACACTTTGTGCTGCCAGGTCCTCTCCATTTACAGGACTGCAGGTTTTACTGAAGCATTGGAAGATCAAAAGAGAACGCTTTAAAGTCCCATAAAGTTTATCTTTCTAGGGAGGAGATGTTCATGTGTGCTTTTAGCTGTGGAATTCAGAAGAACACCCCAAAATTCTCCTCCTAAATAGCTTTGCCTGTCTTTTAGCTTTGAATCAATAGCCCAGTTAACCAGGCAGTGAGGAATGGGAGGGGGAAGGTGGACAGTCTTTACTTTCCTCATGGGGGCTTTCCACAGGTGCCCAGGTTGTGCATTTGGCTGAAGAAGTGGACAACAGATACACAAAGCTGCAGTTTCATTTTGTGCAATATTATGAACCCCAAATGTCCGTCCACATGTGAATTAACCTTTGGCACATGACTTAAAAATCATTAAATATAACAACAATGAAAAAGTAAATTTTCTTTCCCTTTATTTTTCTCCCTCACTTTTAAACCTTTAGATATTTTCTAAACTTCTCCTTTCAACAAGAAAGATGAGGAGTCAGTCCTGCTTAGCTACATGAAGCCCAGATGCATGCATGACTCCTAAATCTACCCCTTCAGGAAAAAACCCAAAACATGAAGTAATGAGAAACTCATGACAATATTTGCAAACAGAAATGTTGAGTTGTTCCTAAATCTGTCAGTGACATGGCTAACAGCAAGTCATTAGCTAGGCTCCATGGGTCACAACCTGGTTCTCCTCCTGAGAGCTTTCAACCCTAAATATCCACACATGCTTTTGTAACATCATGTTACTGTAGTACTATGAGGTCCTGCTCAACCCTGCAGATAGTCTTTGGTCTTGAAATCTGGGCAAAATTGAAGTGATTCTCCAAGGTCTTTAATCTATTATGAGATTGTGCACATGCCACATTTAAAATAATTTGGTGAGTTGAGAGAAATGTACAGAAATAGATCCATGCTTCTGAGAAGTTAATTAGACCGATATGGGATCAAGACTGCAATAATGACTAACATTTATTATCCTTAGCAGCTCCATGAGCTTCTTCGACTGCCCCCAACAGTTCAGCCAGGGAAGAGAGGAATTCTCCTGGCTAATCTGTGGTGCTGTCATCTCCTCCTTTATTTAGCTCAAATGTCTTTCTGCAAATTCCTGTCTTCCCCAGAGGGTTTTAACTGGTCTCACAGGTGGAAGCCAGCAGAGAGGGTCACACCCACCTTCCCCCATCCCCAAAGGTCCATTTGAAAGTGCAACCCACACTTCACTTTGAGCAATTAAACTTGAAGTGCTTTGAGGGATATTGTTTTTTCAGTACTGCTGGTTAGTTAAATGGTGTTTCACAGTTGGAATAATATTTTCTTTAAAATATTTGATGTCTATTATTTCACTCTTTAAGCAATGTGAGGAGGAAAGCCTGTTTACTTAAAAAGACATAGAGACACGCGAGTGATATATAAAAACAAAACCAGATTAATTTACCAATGTGCCACTCTTTGTTTTTAGGTATACAAAAAGAAAACTGAAGCTGCCAAGAAGGAGTATCTGAAGCAGTTAGCTGCCTACAGAGCAAGCCTTGTATCCAAGGTAACACATGATGTATATACATACACACATCTATACAGTGACATATTGCAAACCATCTTCAGCTGAGCACCGCAGTATTTAGTGCAAATTGCCTTGTTTATTATCACCTTGAACTTGTGTTTAAGTTGCAAATGCTCAATAAACACAGTCATCTGTCCACATAAAGACATCCTTTCCCTCCTGGTCATCAGGACAGCGCTTCAGTTTGGGAGTAACATGTAAGTTCAACAGGGGAAGGAGGTAGTGGCAAACAGACCTCCATATAACAAACGTGCCAGGCAGCCACTGTGCTACCAATAAGGGAAAAAAAATATATATCACACACAAAATGCCTGGGTTTGGTTTTGTGGGTTTTTTTACTACTGCTTTTTACCTTGCAATCACAAGACAGAAATAGGCAAGCCCAGATGATATTGCAGATTTCCATAAGAAATGTGAATTTCCATTTTATGTCCAGCAGGCCATTGTGAGCACGGCATGAGTCACCACTAAGGCAATGGTGGAACATTCTTTACTGAAAGACACCAAATATGCAGCCAGTAGCAATTTTCTAAATAGATTAGTTCACACATTCTCAGTGCCCATAATTTTGCAGTAGACTCTTTAGAATTTGTAATAGACTTTTAGATGTCTATTACATTAAATGTCTATTACAATGCAGAAGAATGTGAAATAACTATACTGTGTCAATGTGAAAAACCCATTGAGCAACTTCAGAATCATACCAGTTAGAACCATTTGGTTTGGGTCTATCAAAACAAATTTAGATAAATTTTGTTCTTACTTAAATAAAATCAATTTAAGAGGTAAAGAGCACAGTATGAAGGACTGGCATGTAGGACATGAGAACTTCTTGGTTAGTTTCATAATATTTTTGGCGCCCTGCACACAGTGCTACTCTCTATACCATGTTAATTTTTCAGAGGATTTGCTATATGATTACCCATGCAAGGACTTTTCATGCATGCTTCTGCATTATCTCTGTATTTGGTCAATGTTTGTTCTGAATTTAAAAGTCTGAAATATGGCTGCCACCTTATTCATTTTTGGGGTTTTGTCCTATAACTTTCCATTTTTTAGCTGCCATTAAAAATACTCCTGCATTTAATTAAAGTTATTTACAGTATACCTTTCATTTCTGTATTAGGACTGTTTGGTTCCAGAAATAATCATTGCCTTCAGAAGGAGTACCATGTGAGCACAAGCAAATCTTTTTGAAATAGCTTGCTTATTGGCAAAAATAGGTCTAAAAAGCTCAAAATATTCCAGTTTTAACCCAGCTTTTCACTTGAGAAGATAACTTGGCTATCATTATTCAGTACATCATGGACTATTTACGTAACACTCTTACATGGCTTAATTTTGAAATGCACAATATAAAAAATGTGATTTTTTTAAACAATAAAAGAATATGTTATGGCATTTTTTGAAAATTTTTTTTGAAAAAAAATTTGGAAGACTCTTGATCAGTTCAGTGCATTAATCCATTAGTGCAAATATTCAAATTTGTTATTAGTCAGAAAAGCACTGAAGCATTTTCTTAACTTTTAAGCAATTATTTAAATTCTGCCCATAATGTAATGTTTTCCTCTAGTGTGGAAAGTATAAAAATATAAACTTAATGAAGCTGAGTACTGATTGCTTATTCCCATGAACACACTCAGTGAATCCAAAAGAGCTGGCATGTAACAAAAGCAAGTCCATTTTGGAATAAGGATGTAAAATAACCATTTGTAATATAATATCAGTATATTCTACATTATCATTATTAAATATTTATATGGCACCAGAAGAGTTGTGGCTTTTTAGACAAGCCTGTAAGCATGAGAGAATATATATAATACATAATTAAGGTTATTTGGAGTCAAAATGGTCTTTTATGTTCATGTTGTTACATTGCCATCCATAAAAACTACTTTTAGATGGTATTATTAAGATTCCAAGACCTCATTATCAGAAGCTTAGACATGCCAAAAGTAACACACTTTTTCCAAAACTTCTTTATTACCATATTAATGATTTGCTCACAGTTATATTTTGTGCTTTGTGCCCCACTCTGTGGTACCTCACATTTATAATCAGGTGTTCACCCTGAATCCTCATGAGTTGTATTTACTGCATGTTGTTTAACCTTACTGCTTTATAGAATGTGCTGCTCATCCCAACAGTGCTTTGGTGTAAAGAAATTCTCACTAATACCTGGGACCAGGAAGTTTATATAGTCCATATTTTCAAACACTATTGTGAAATCAGGTTCTCATTAATTTTGTGTATTCTCCTTGGAACATTTTTTTTTTTTCAAAGTATGTGAACAATATTAAGCCCTTCATGTTCATAGCAGAGCTCCAATGACTTCGGGGTGGCAGCTGTGAGACACTCAGTTATGCTTCATATCCCATCAGGATATGCTTTGGCTATCCAAAAGTTATCCAATATCAAACTTTCTTTCATATCCCCTCCTAGAGGTATCTGTCTGCAGGAAGAGGCAGGCGCAAGTAGGCAAGGGTTCTGCTCAGGTCCCCTCTGTCCAGCTCAGCAGGTGCCTTACACCTCCCAGAGCAGCTGCTTTTCCTGTTTCCTATCTTTTTGACTGATTCTGCTACCTTTTTCATGAAGTACTACTGGTTTTTAAACTATGAGCCTATGAGACTCTGTGCGTGTTTTTTCTGCATTTAATTGCAAGTCTTCTCTTTTCTGAAAAGCAAGGACTGGACATATGCCATGTTCTACCTCAGTAGTGCAGACTTGGAACTGAATTCATGGCACCCACCTTGGCCATTTGAGATTCCAGAATAGTCAAAGTAGGAGATTACAGAGGAACAAGGTAGAACTCCTGCTGTCAGGACACTTCCAAGCCTCTGCCTGACAGCAGAATAATGGCATTCAGACACACTGGTGTTCCTACCAAGCTCTGGGGTGGATGTGGAGCATCAGGAGGAGAGAGTGGCCTGCTCCATGACACTCAGCTCCTTGCCCCTTTACTCTGATTTTTTTCTCTCCTTCCCTCCCTGTTCATTGTTTAGAGAGCTGAGCAGTTCTGTTTGGACTTTGGCACACGCACACAGAGCTCACACACACCCATACTGTGCATCATATCAGACTGTGTTATTTGACAAAATCATAGCTGAAAAGAGTGGAAGTGTCACCAGCAACTCTGGTAATAGGATTGCCAGCCCATTTCTAGTAAACTTCTAAATGCTTTCATGATGTCTTTATAAGACATGTATGGCTACCACACAGTAAATAAGGTAAACATATGATTGTATAAATATGTCAGTATGCATTAATTCCCATTCATTTATAATTTTATTTCCTGTATTTTCTCCTTTTTTATTATACTGTTTGAAATTGATGTGTTGTTGAATTTGTTCATGTGTGTAGGAATTGATAGGTAAAGTGAAAACACATAACAAAGCATTATATCTTCTGCTATGCAGATTGCCATATTGCTTATAGTACTGACTAAGCCTTTGCATTGTAAACAAGTGTCTTTATATTTGCCCTCAGTTGCAACTTTTAGTACTATTCAGGTCCAGAAATGCAGTCTCTGGTATCTGGTAATTTGTACAGCATTACATAAAATGCTGTGAATTGCAATTTTACTTTTTTTCAGAAAACAAGCACTTTTTCTAGCTTAACCAGCCTTTTTTCTGGCTGACATTAGAGGTTTTGCTGCATCTTTCATATATATATATTTAATATGGATGTATATGGGTAAATGTAAAATACTTTCATATATTACATAGGTTCACCTATGAATATTTATAAAACTTATAAAATTTATAAAAATATTTATAAAATATATACATGGTAGGTATTCAACATGCATAACATATTTATGTGCATTGATTCATATATATGTGTTAATTATAACAGTACAACTGTATCTGTTTCAGTAGTACAGAAAAGATTTTTTGTCCCTTTTTTATTCTTTTTGACTCAATGAATCTTTAATTCTCCACAATTTCAAGTTTCATGAAGATATATATTAGTGACTATGGCTGAAGCTAAAACCTCTCAACAAGAGGAATATTATTCAATATCAAAATACTCAGGCATATTTCAAAACTCTGATGCTGTGTCAGAGTCAAAGTCAAAGTGGTATCCTCATTTGACTTTGAAGTGAACATATTGGACATTTTTCAGTTTTGTGGACAGTGCAAATCCTTTGGACATGTAAAATTGCTTCTTGAAACTTATGGCAGACTTAGCTTTTCCTAGTCCATCATCTTGCAATTGTGGTTCATAAGAAAACTAAAGGTCATATCTGTAAGGCTGACATTGCCTTAATGCCATTAGCCCAGCAATTTGTAACCAGAGAGTTCCAGGGACCCAAAGTATCTGTTACATTGCCCGTGGTGTAATAAAAATGATCAGCCTAAGGAATTCAAGTCTCTTAAAAATGCACTGGACATAAATGAAAACATTTGACTTTCTTGTAAAAAGCAATATGGAGACCATGAAAAGGAAAAAAATAAATCAACAAAACAAGCAAACAAAAATAAAACAAAATCAAAATGCAAAAATAAGTCAAAACTAAAATGATAAAATTGATATTAGTTTCCAATTTCGTGTATGTATGTGTGAGAGCACTTGCCTAACATATAAAAAACCAAAAAGATCTATTAGATCTCCCTGATCAAACATTTCCCAACTATTAAATAAATTAATATGTGCAGGTATGCTCTCTCCACAATTTGTTTTCTGTAACTGCATCACTTCATAGTGGCCAAGCTTCAGATGAAGGGGGGCACTGTATCCTGGCTCACTCCTCCCTGAAATAAGCAGCTGCTGGGGTTTGGGACATTTCTTTTGGGAATAAAATTCTTAATATCTCTAGACCAGAGTTAGTGACTGAACTGTCTTGTCTCCTGGTCAGTGCTTTAACAAGTTGGCTATTGCATGCAAGGAGAGCAGCATCCTTTCTGCTGCTGGCAAAGAGGCACCTGCTGCTGAGAACAGCTTTTCCTACATTAAATCTTGACCTAGTCCATGCAGAT